ATTTGAATAATTTATTTTTACAGTCAAAATTTCATTAACCATCAATCTGTTTGAAAATTACAAATATATGTTCTTTTAAAGGAAACAAATTCAATAAGTTGTAACATTTTGATTGTAAATAACGTTGTTTAGCAAAACACATGACTTCTTATAGCACAAGAAAGATGCGGGTGATATAATATGAAGACGGGGGTGAGATGTCAATGTCAACTGTCGGAATAAACACGCATGATCGTGCTGACCGGTTCAACAAATGTAATCTCGTTTCGCAGTGACGCTTCTGTGTTACATCAATAAGCTTTGAAAGTAAACACGCTTTTTATCTCAAGATGTATTGCAAATTTTCTATCACGTTTCATCTCTGATTTTTCTCACAAATCGACTAATTTTATAGTACTAGTAATAATTTATTGTTATAAATTATATAATAATATCAAAATTGTTAAAAATATAACAAAATTCCTAAAAAAATATATGCAAAATTTCAAAAATATCACAATTACTTAAATATATTGTGAATAAGCAATAGCTAAAGGAAACATTCTAATATTTTCTTTTACAAAAAAAGCAACAATAATAAAAAAGTTTTATTTTTTAAGAATTAAAGAATTTCTACTATTTCTCCAATGATTGTTTCAAGTAGTTTATAATTCCGACCGTTTTCGAGTGAGAACCGCTGTTGGCATCCCGGAGCCAGTGGTGCGAGTAAACCAATAACGCGTCCGCCACGCCGGGTGCCAGATTCAAATCCGGCAGGGACCGAAACGGTATTCCACGACGAAACGGATAGCGGGAGCTCCGCAGGACATTTCGAATCCGTCTCCGCGTCCTGCGGGCTTTACTGGTTTGTCGAACCATTGGCTCGATTCGGCAATTCCGCGTGCGTTCGACTTTCTCGCGAAAGAGGACGAATGTGATCGGGTGATCATTCGCACACAAAACTGTTGCTCTCACGTAATTTTATTTAATCTAACCGTTGCAACATTTACAGCAAGGATAAAAAAATAAGTTGTGTTTCCTCAGATTATCGAAAAGATGGATTTGAATAAAATATAGCCGATTAACATTTAATAGAATTTATCATTGATATCAAAATTAAACTTGATTAAGAATCACTCGTGTGACGATAAATTTATAAGAAATTGTAATGCTTCTCACAACAGAAAATTGTGGCACAATGCGATAAATAACGAATTATTTATATCTGCATTTTTTTCAACATAAAAAACAAAATTTTAGATATCTCCAATAGAAATTCTATTAAAGAAAATCTTCGTACAAGGAAAAAACTTATATTCATGAGTACATCGACAACGTTTATTCGCCTATAAAAATGTGAGTCATACGCAAGTCGAACACGAATTCAAGTCGAGCAGAAATTTGAAACACGCGAACATATGCCTTCTGAATTTGTTTAGCTAAACCGAACGAAGTATACATATATCGAGTAAAGTTGTTAGGGTAATGTGAAATACTCCTCCGCAACAGGGCGAGTAACGTTCTGGCGTCTTCGTGAAGAAAGTGGAAGAAGGAAGAGATTCGCGAAAGGAAGGAGCCCGAGATATTTCTACAGGGTGTACGAAGCGTATCCAATTTGATGGCATTACAATAACGGGGGTAATGTCTGAGAATAATGAAATTTCCCCCAATCACCACGGCTCGCCTGGAATACGTTCCTTCGTTCCGTTCCTACCTCCGTTTTCTCTCTCTCTCTCTCCCTCTCTCTCTCTTTCTCCCTTTTCCCTCGATCTAAGATCTTTCATCGTCTGCTACACGCGCACACAGCTGCACACGAATGGACACGTATAAGCGGACTAGAGAAAATGAGTAGAAACGTTTTCGAATCAATCCCGTTCCTGAATTATTTCGTTCCCCATCAGAGGAAAGTCGAAAGATCCTCGAGTATCTCGGTTTGCGAAGCGGATTCTGATCAAAAATTTTCGGATGCTACAATCGTTTGTAAAAAATTTATTTTTACGATATTATGTGCAGTATAATCAAAATTTAAAGTTGTCGAGAAGATTTTTTAAAACGCTTTGATTAGTTTTAAAGGAAACGTTTTACAGTTTTATAGTTTTCACAGTAATATGAAGATATACATTTATTGAAATGTGTGTATGTGGAGTGCTTCGAAATGCCATACACTTGTTTATCAGAACAGATTTTTTAAGAACAAATTTTACATGTTTTTCAGATAATACAGTCCTTGGAATGTTACCCACATTACTGTATTAATTTTGTGACGTTAACCCGTTTTCAAGAAAAGACCGGGAGAAAAAAAATTATAAAAGATAATGAAATATCAGAAAACTTGAAACGCGAGATCCCGGAATTCCTTTTGACCGTTCATCGTTTCGCATTTTAGCACTCAATTCGTTCGACGCCTTGTTCCGCCTCAACGTCGGCGCAATAATTCTCGAGCGAACTGTACGTAATGGAATATTACACGGGCCATTAAAGAAACGTTAATCTTGCCCACAACAAGTTCAGAAGCACTCGCAGGATGCTCAAACGCGGCCGGGGATTACGCGCCGGCTTTGATCCTCCAACGCCCCGGAGGCGTGCTCCAGAGTCCGCAAGCTCCTGTAATTTGTTAAAACGCGAAATTCTGTGACGTCGCTGTTTGTGTCGGCGCCTCATTACCGCATAAAATGCTTAAAAGTCACGCGGCGCTTTTGACGACTCGCTTAAATACACTTGTTTAAATTTGAACATTCTTTCAGCGTTTTTTTAAATTAAATTTTCGTTTTACCGATAATATATAAATAATCGAAAAATCATAATCCCGAAATAAAAAGAGTGGGTCAACGTTTTACACATTAACACGCAATGTGCATTCTAAAGTGTTAAATATTTCAGAATTAAGAATATAAATGTATACTAAAAAGAATAAGTTAAAAAAAAATTGTTTTTTTAAATTTCATAATTCAAGTAACTTCACTAATTTGCAAATTTTTTTCATTGCTATACTACTTGAGTAATAAGTACAAAAGTTACAGACGTTACAAAAGTACAAACGCTTGTTGATATTAAAATAGTTTTCTGTGCTATACTATTTTTAAAATAATAAAAAACTTGTACTTATAACAATCAACAACTATTTTTGCAAACTACTTCAAAGAAATTGCGTATCTTTTCTGAGTATAAATATTAAAATTTTCGGTACAACGGAAGGGAAAAGGGTTACAAAAAGTCGCGGATGAACTCTCGCCGGTTTTTTTTTCACAGATAAGAACGAGCCTTTGATACTTTTTTTCTCACATCGATAAGAATGCTCTCTCAGTTCCACCGTCATCCTTTCCCGCCTCCTGCAACCCCGCGACTTTCTTCCGTGGCCTCTCTGTGAGGGTGGCTCGCGTACATCTCGGCGCTATTACGAAGACGCGAGGAAGCGAGCCAGCGTCGGGAAGGGAAGACGAGACGAGTGAGACGAAGAAGACGCGACGGGAAGGGCGGCACAGGGCGATGTGGGAGAGGGAGGGTAGAATTTAGCGACCCTCTTTCGCTTTTTACCCTAAGCGAGTCGAGAGCCCCTTAGCCACCGTTTATTGGACGCATGCAAATATCCATGGCAACGGCGGTATCGCCGTATACGGGAAGAACCAACCCCGCCGTCGAGAACACACCGAACGTACCGTGTGCAACGGGACGGGGGAGGTCTTACTCTCTCCAGGTCGAAGAAGAAAAATAAAAAGAAGAGACGTCAGGGAATTTTCTTTTGATCCGCGCGTCGCCCATCCTCGAGCAATCTCTTAATTGATTCTGCAAGAATCGGTATTACGTTCCCTCTCGAGAGATGCTTCTCGACCGTTATCAAACGCACTGCTAATCATCATACGTGACCTAACCGAGTCTCACGTCTTCTTTCGCGTTTATTTTTGATTAATTTAAAAAATTTTTTTAAACTTGTTTTTTTTAAATAAATAAATTTCTGAAAGTTCTATAAACGATTAGAAATCAACCAATTTTTATAAATTAAATTTCAAAGATGTACAAATAAGATAAGAAAATTTCATATTTTATCTAACTTTCAGTGAATTTTCTCTTCTGACAAAAATTAACAACTCATGATTACAAAATGTGGACGCGAGAAAAAATTAAGAGAAACTTTTTACTGTCCAAAACTGATTAAAGAGAGGCGTATTATCCATCATTTGCCTTCAGTGTCTGTAAAGGTCAAAAGTGTGATACTTTAATGACAGACTATCAGTTCTCGTGGAGTATCGTGACTGTGAAACGGGAAGAACGACTCGTGTTGGGGGAGCAACGCTCGTCGGGGCGGAACCGGTTAACGCCAAATCGTCCGTCATTCGTTTGCGCGATTAACCGCTTCGTGTTAACAACATCAGCCGCGCCACGACAAGGGGAGGAGTTTGTACGTCGTCCTGGTCGCGCGCGCCCGCCCGAGTCCATCGGCTCGCATAAACATCCTCTGTACAACCCAGCCGCCAACCCCACGGAAAACTGATTTCCATCCCCCTTCCTGTGACTCGCGCTATCTATGTAAATGCGGTCCTGTTTTGTGTGAGTAGACAAAGCTCCCTGTTGACAATACGCCTGCGCGTTTACAACCTCCACCCGCCGTCGCGAGAGCCGAAAGTCAGGCTCCATTACGGCTGTTTTGCGACGCGCTTTGTATTATTGTCACCGCGACACTGATTCTTCGGCGAAAACTTCTGTCATTTTAATGTCAGGCTTTAGTCGGTCGGTGAACTCTAACTACGAATTAATGAATATTTGAAATAACTGATTATTTAATCCTTATTCACCGCTCTGGATATTCGCGGATAATGCCAAAAATTACACATGATTTCATTAATACAAAGAACTATTTTACAATTTTACAAAATCTGCCATGGCTTTGATAACAGATTTAAAACAAAATGTTCAGGCTAATTGTCATATAAAATTTTATATGCGCATTAATAGAGAAATGTATTTTTTGTAGATAAAAATTGAAGGTAAAAAAAATCATCAGATAGAATGCGAATTGTACTTACGCTGGGGATGTTGTCGTTCGTGCATACGCCCTCCTGCAGCAAACGATCTCGGATCTCCCACGCGAAGATCGATGGGCATTCGCTCTTGTACAGCGAGATCTTACTGACAACCTCCGCCGTTGCTACGCGCGGTTTGCTGCCGCCTATGGCCCGGGGCCTTATAGATCCGGTCTCATAGTACCTACAACAATAATAATTTGCGGTAAGAATACGCGAAAGCACCGAACTCGCCAGAAAACATTATTTATTTATCTTACTATCCATATTGTGTGTAATTTAAACGTGAGTAAAACCATATAATAGATGCGCGAAATTGTTAAACAATACACTTCAATTATGTACGTCCTTTATCGCGATTTGCTAATTGCATATAGTACTGTAAAATTTGAATAATTCACTTATATTTCTCTCTTAATCGGATGCCAGATTTGTGTAATATTCTTTTTTAAAATTTATAAAAATTGTGTTTAAGTTGTGTAAAAAAATAATAAACAATACTTCGTATTTTGTATAAAATCGTACGAGACTTGAGACTAGTTTTTTAATGATAAGATACAATGTAGCGAATTGATCTAATTGGTAAATATATGATTTAATTAGGAATGCATCACGATACGGAACAAGCAATATTGCAACCAACCTGCCGAGGATTTTCGAGACGCAGCCGTTGCTGACCTGCAATATCCTGGAGATGTCGCAAGGTCGGGCGCCCGAATGCGCGAGCTCGACGATCTTCTGCCGCGTCGAATCCGGAAGTGGCCGGCCGCCGACGAAGACACCACCCAGCTGGTTTACCCCGCTGTGTCCTGTGAATAGAAGTCATGTGTACTTCGGCTCACCATGCGCTTGTTTTTTTATTTAGCAATCATTTTCCAGAACCGGAAGCGACAAATTAAGCCGTCGAGTTACGGTAGCAACAAATTACGAGAGCGATTTTCTTCGGAATCATTCTTTCCTTCCCCTTCGCGCGAGGAATAAGATTCGCGTAAGCCGTGAAAAATTCAAACGCTCCAGCGCCTTCGGAGACTTTTTCGCGTTTCGACGAACAATACCGCTGTCGCCATAGATCATGTATTTTCTCTCATCCCTCCCGACTCATCCCGGAAACCCGAAAGAAGAGAAGAAGACTGCGGCGGGTTCTTTCTTTCTTTCTCTTCGCTCGGCGAAGGGTGCGACGGAGAGGCGAAGGACGAGCGCAGGGGGTTGGCCGCGAGCGTCGTAACGTCAGCGAATCCCATCGTAGATAATCTTCGACTCATTGTGCCGGTGACAAGGCAGACACACACGCCGCCGGCTCGGGACACTCGGGAGGAACGCCAGGGCGGAGTGTCCCCTCGCACAGATATTTTATATTCCCGCGACCGCCGCGCGCAAAAGCTGCATTCGAAGATGACACCTAGTGTGAGGTGCCACGCCCTAATTTTTTTTAGAGATTCGTCGCGCATTTTTAAGAAATGGATAGATGCTACTAGCATCATAGCAAATAATAGATATTTTCATTTCTTTATAAAAATCTATATATGGCTGTAAATTTATCTCTTACAAGTGTAACAAATGTGCTATTTATTTAGAATACAGTAGAAGAAATCTTGATAATACGTCCGTGCATTTATATTATGTATTCGAGCCGCATAATAAATGTATCAACATATGCAACAATTTTGTACTATAAAAGAATAATTTATTTATATAATATTGCACAGATCTGTTAATATATTTACGTGCAAGCCTATCCACTGCATTTATCAACAGATATAACAACATAAAGTGTTATCGAGTTATCGGTATACGAAAATATCGATTGCGAGCCAACAAATAAAGCATGTTTCAAGCGTGGATGTAGCTTTCGCTGGAGGAGAAAAAGGTCCGTTAGGAAAAGCAACGTCGGTTGTCAAAAATTTCTCGTCGACGCTAATTCGGCGCGTCGCCTGGCACACACCCGGAGGGTTATAAGGGAGATTTACGAGCGCGCGCGATCGACGAGAAGGGGGCTCACGGTCGATTGACTTTCGAAAATGGGCCTGGCGCGAGAATCGCGAGCCATTTCTCGCGTGTGTCTACGCGCGCCCTTCTGAATGGGCCCTTCGAAAGAGAGACTACTCCACATGTGCGCATATACGTGTAAACACCTACCGCGTCATAATTCACGAATTAACGGTGCGTACTTTTAATAAGTTGCCATTCGTTTCGCCCCTTTATCGAATCCGTGTAAAGCGAGCGTGCGGAACGCAGAAGCGGTGAAAGTGGAAATTTCTCACTCGGCGGAGGAATCCGCCGATAATACACCGCGCGGGCTCTCGCAAATCGGCGGGCAAAAAGCGGAGCAGTGAATTAAAGAAACAAATAAAGTCTGAAAAGAAGGGCGAGCGCCGTGCCGGCCAGAGCGGCGAGGGAGCGCGAGCAAATTGTTAAACGCGCTTCGAATGCCGGTCCTTAACGAGCGATAATAACTCGCGCAAATAACTGGCGCGTCTTTAGAGGGCTAGTTTCTGCTGTTTCTCCTTCTCTCTCTCTCTCTCTCTCTCTCTCTCTCTTTCTCCCGCTCATATCATTCGTCCAAACATTGTGTGTAAGCATGAGAGTACTGGGGAATTATAGCTCCTCGTCGTCTCTCCGTGGATTGAGCGCGGATTTTGGCTATGTGCATGTGTTCGTTTGTATTAGAGTCGGTACAACGGCAGGGGTGCGCGAGACTACACCTTTAAGGCAACCGGCATTAACCGCGCGCGACCAAAGGGTGTGCTCGAGTGGGCATTCGGCCCAAAGGACGTGTTTTGATATTGTAACGTTTGTATTAAATATCAAGGCGGAAGGGTGCCGCGCGTCTGTCTGAGCCTGGGCGCCGTTTATTAGGACTTCATTAGCCGTCCCTTGATCCCTTCTCGCTTTCTCATCCTAACACCCTTTTCCATAATGCATCATCGATCGTGCGCAGAATTTTTCCAAGTGTTCGTCATTGTTTAGGTTTCCGAAAAAACATCATTATCGTGTAGATCATATTTTTCACAGGCTAAATTATTTAAATAATAATTTTTATAAATTTGATTTTTTATTACCTCATTTAAAATGTTAAAGTAAATTAAAAAAAAAAGAGAGAATAAATATAAAAAATATTAGCACATAAAAAGGATCACAGAATCGCAGCGCTATATATGTTGAATTTTATTTTCCTGTCAAAAACATTTGTTGAAATATGGAAAATATTTATTATATTTGCTGATATAAAAGCGACGCTTGCACATAGCTCTTGTGTATTTTTAACACAATTAAATAGAAATAGGTGTCAATTGCCTTGAAAGTGTAAACCACATTGGTTTAATACCTGGTATGCTTATGGAATCTAGGTGACTATAATTGGATCAAGGACACATTCATTCTATGCTAACAAACGCGATGAAATATACCGGCGGGATCAACTCGCTGTAACAATACGCAGTTTCTTTCAAAGATAACTTTGCATCTATTGATATGTAATAATATAATTTCAATAGTGTACTGAAGATAAAATACTTTCTTGTGCAACAGACCGTGTGATAAAATCTTATATAAATGCATCATTCTGAGTCAGCACTATCCAAAGATATCTTTTTCTTGTGTTATATATATTATATTGTCTCCTTTTTCATCTTTTTTTAACATGTTACTATTGGTTACTGTCATCGTTCCTATTAAAGATCGATAAACTGGATTCGTTGATACCATTACTGCCGCAGCTGCTATACACTTTTCTAGGCAATGATATGTATATTATTCCAGATTACCATTGCTATCAAATACATGTGGAAAGATAAGATGATGTCATAACGTGTCCCAAATTTTTATGCTAAATAGCCTGAATGTACACACAATGTGTGTTGCTGTCGCAGAGAAAAATGTTGATGCAGATCTCGTAAATATTTTCATAGTTCGTTGGTTTACATGCACGGAAACACAATTTTAGAAAACTTAATCGCATGTAGTTAAAGCGCTAATCGTGAGGATCGATGAGGAAAGTGTTTTCGGATGTGCACAGACAGTTTGATACTTCTGGCAGCGCATAGTCTTCAAAAAATGGGAAGCTCGTTTACAAATGGGCAACAGAGCCTCGCTGACGCGACGGCTCAGACAGCACATTTATCATCCGTCCAACTTCTTCCTCCCTATCCGACTTATATATCCACCTCTCCTTTCCCTTCTTGTTCTATGGGGTGGTCCTCCCATCATGACGTAATCAATTACGACGAGTAGCGGCTCGCCGGAGGTTGCCGGCTTCTTCCACGCCGAGACTTGCTGCCGATTTCTCATACCGGAATAAAGTATTCGCGTGCGTCTCTGTTTTGATTTGATCTTCACTCTTTCAAATGGGTCATGACTTTATCACTCTTTTCTATGTCTTGTAAATGCTACGTGAGATAGCATTTACATTTAATTTTTGAGTAATAATATCGTTTTAAAATATATGTTTTTTTAAGATTCTTAAAATGTTTTACATAAAAATGTCTTAACAGACATTATAAAACAAAATATTTTTTATATTGTTAAAAAAGTATTTCTTAATAAACAAATTACTATAAGTTGTTTAAATATATTATACAAATTATGTATTTTGCAAAATTAATATTATAGAAAACTTGGAAAATGTAACTTGTGAGATTTATGTTTTGAAAAATATTAAAACAAATAAAAAATAAACATGTATATACAAAATGATTCGTATAATTTTCAAATTTATTTTGAAAAGTTTAGCATAGAATTTTTGAGAGATTTATATTGCAACAGTTTATATGCCAAATTTGGATCCTTTCCCATCCATTTAGCAGGACAATTTGTATATCGATGACACGGATCGATTGAATTTCGTTCGACGTGAAAAGCCCCATCCGTCGGTCCGAAAGCTTCTCCGCCGTAGCCATTGTTACGGATTATTGTGCATCATTGTATCGAGTTCCGCAGAAGTTGTAGAGTTGAGAACAGTCTCTCTCTGCGATCGTTATAGCGCTGTTCAAAGTGCGACGACAAACGCTTACGAGCGGCAGTTAAAATCGGTTCACCTAGAGCGTTGTCGGTGGTGCCTGCCAAGCGTCTCAATCATCTCCGCAGAGATGCGCTTCCGGGAAATGAATGAACGGAGAAGAGCACGGGACACCCTTCAAACCATTTGAGACTCCTCAACTTTGGGGAGGAAGGTGTCAAGGGATCCCCACTTGGGTTCGAGTGTTTCGCGCTTGGCATAGTGTGTTTCGAGAGTAATCGCTGAAGAGATTAAAGAAACGGAATATCTGCTCGATCGCATCAAAGTATCATTTTACATCAATTTAGAGACATTTATTCAGACTTAATCAAAATTCTCAAAGTGATTTAACTGTCGTTTATAGAAAAATTAAAGCGATAAAAATATCAGTATGCACTTTGTAACTATTTCTGAAATTAATATTCAGTAATTACTTAATAATTTTATTAAATTTTTTTTTTGCTCTTTTCCAAAATTAATTCATCGTAATTCAATAAAAAAAAATAATATTTTAACAAACATTAAAATAATCCTCTTATTGCGACTTATATTATTTTTTGTTTTTCTGATTGACGTTTGACTTCCATTCTATAATTTAAGCTGTGAAAGAAACTCAATCATAATAGATACTTACAAACAAATAAAAAAAGTAAATGTAAAGAATAGGTAGCAGCGAACGATGAAGTTCTCCGTGGACTTTATGGTGTCAATGATACGCTTTCGAGAGTTAATTTATGAGATCTTGTCGATACAGTGGGTTTCTCCGTGAAGCACCAACAAGTTGCTCGGAGTTGGCTACTCATGCTTCGCCATAAC